TTTTCAGTCCTTTAGAAAGGGAAGCGAACTTGTCATTTTGAAAGCAAACTTTAAGGGATGAGTAGTCATTGAAAAACATTCATGTATAACCTAAAGAGCATTCTCGTGGTAAAAGTTCAACCTCCTCAAGACCGTTGCATATCACTCTGGAACCTGAAGGGCTACGGATTCAAATTAAATGTTCTGCTGCTAATATTTCCATTTTACTACCAGAAGAATTGATCTCTGTGGCAAATTTGTATTCGATATTTGTTCTTTGAAGTAATCCATGAACATCTCAAAATACTGTTATTTTAATAATTATGGGACAAAACTTATTTCAATGCTCTTAATTTAAAAGGGCCTTAGAAATCACCTGGCATGTTGTTGTCACTTACAGATAAGGAAAGAGAGGCCTATGGAGCAAGAGAAATAAGACTCAAAAATAATCAACTCTTGAATGCTTTACTTTCATCAGATAAATATCCCTGGGCGCCTGCCCTGTGACAGTACTGTTCTAGGTACCAGGAAAGTGAGTGAACAAATCAGAAACACAGACAAAGATCTCTGCCTTATAGAATTTCAGGATAGGCCTATTTTTACTAACATTGGTACTGGATCCATTTTGGGTCCCTATGGTTTTCATTTCTCTCATCTCTTATTTATGCTGACTTTATAGTTTTTTTGTAAGACAATTTAAATCCATTTTGAAATAATGTGGGGTATAAACATATAAATGACACATTGATGTCAACATTTATTTATAACAAGTATTTATTAAGTGTTTATAGCTATCTGATTAATATTAAGAAGGTATTTTTTAATATAAAACTAGTCTGGAGATCTAAATTTTAATCAACAGGTAGAATTACTACATGAACCTAAGGGGAAATTTGCCTCCATGGTGAGATTTGATGTATCTCTAATAGGCCAGTGAGGAAGATACACTTTTGGTAGTGAGTAGAGGCCACCTAAGTCCATTCTCACATATACCTGTTCATGTGTATCAGTTCTGGCTTTATTAATTTCATTTCAATATAGGTGGCTATGGAATATCATTTACATGTCAAAGAAGAAAAAGCTAGACTGCAGAAAGGCCTCTGGCATCTCTGCTGCTCTGGACAAGGACCACCATGATATTGTCAGGGGTGGGGTGATTGGGTGCTGTGGGGGAACTGGGGAGGGATTTTGGACAAAGTACAAGTCCATTTTGCATTTCTCCCTTTCAGATTTGAGAGGTTTGTGATCTTGTTGCATTTGTGAAAGGGTTGGTATTATATCTTGATTTTCCTAGGGGGTTATAGGTTTATCTATTTCCTTTTCTAATATATCTGATATCTGGGACCTTCTTATGCCTGGTTATTAGAAATTTAGTGGAAAACAAATCCATCTTAGTGCATGTCGCATTCTGTCACATAGCACATTATCATGGAGAAAGACGGCCTGTATCAATATCTACTACATCAAAATGCCTAGAAAGTGAAAGATTTTAGAGACACCTTTGCGTAGGTGTAGCTGTTTCCATCTTCAAAATAAATGAATGGTTTACAATACCATATAGTTATTTCTAAAAACTGACAGTGCCTCAGGTATATTGAAGACAGCAAAACAATCAACAGTCGTTATTTCCCAAATGTTAGAGCGGTGAAGAAAAATGTAGCAAAAGAAACAGATTAACATTTTTTGTTTAAGTATTCCTTAAGCTTTTTTATAACTACAACCATTGATAATCAAGATTGTCTGGTAGATTTCATATTTGAGATGAGATCTATTCATCTTTCATAGCTCATGAACTGCCATTGATAAGTATAGAGAAATTTTCGCTACAAACATTTTGCAAAACTTTTCTCATATTTACCAAGAAATTTATCATACACGTAGAAAACCATGACAATAAATCCATAGATGGGTCCCATTTTTTCACTTTAATAATAACAATTCTAACATAGTGAAAGCCTTCTATCTATCTGGGTAGCAGATTCAGGCATTTATTTTTGATTGCCATTATCTTAATCTGGAGCTGCACGGTCTAATATGGTAACCATGTGGCTATTTAAATTAAAATTAATTAAAATTAAATAAAATTAAAAATTCAGTTCCTCAGTCTCGGTAGGCACATTTCAAGTGCTTAATCACCACATATGGCCAGTTGTACCATATTAGACGGTGCAGATGTAGAATGTTTCCACCACTGCAGACAGTTGGATCAGACACTGCTGCAATCTTCAGAGATGCCACAAGAAATAGACGAAGCTACAGAGACGATGACATGCAGCCTGCCACGTTGTTTTGGCATCTGGAACAAATGACCACTTTCATGTGCATGAAACTGGTACTGAGAGCAGGGTGTGGGCTGAGAAACCTAAGCATGCAAAGACATCTGTCTGTTTCTAACTCTTACTTCTACCTTCTGATGTTACCATAGAGTACCTTTGTTATTTCAACAACATACAAAGGTTCCTAACCTGGTGAAGATCTGGTCAGGTAATCCAGAACAAGTAGAAGAGGAGTCTGAGGACCTGGGGAGGGATCCCCAGACCAGCACCTTCACAGACTAGAACGACCCTGAGAGGCTGGGGCAGCCTGTGCCAGGATTTAGAGCAGTGCCTCCTAAGTCCTTCAGAGCCATAGGCTCTGGAAACACCAATAAAGAAATAGACATGCTTCTCACTTAGTTATGCACTTCATTTCAGGTGCTCGCAGATCCACCTGGAGTCCCTAGGGTGTCTGAGGAGAGTTGAGAGAGGTCATATCCTCTGAGGGAAGCACTGCTCCTTAGGAGTCCTCAATGAGGGATGAGCTATGACACTGAGACGAGAGGTTTGCATGACCAGAAACCGCTGCTCTGCCCACACACAAGAGTGGAGTGGGGGGCCTTGGTCTCTTGCTTTTTCAAATGTGCCACGAAATAAATATGAAACTATGGATAGATGGTTCCCAAGCCTATGATTAATAATCTGAATGTCTTATCTTCAGTGATACAGTAATGCAATTAAAATGTAGTAGCAACTTTCTAAAAGAGGTCCATAGCTTCTGGAATAAGATGTTTTTCTAAATTTATGCTATTATACTACCAGTGACAGCAAATAAATTGTTTCTTCTTTTTATTACTTTCTAGCTTGCTGAATCAGTACTATAATCAATAGTAGCTTAAGAGAATTAATATATCCATAAAAAAGAAAAGCATTTTATATCCCTGCTGACTGTTGGATTATCAAAGATAAAATGATTCGTCTCATATTTTTATTAATAATTTATTTTCAAAGTGATTTTTTCTAGTCTCTACACTTCTAAGGTTGCTCATAAAATTATTTGAATCATAATAAATCTATATAATTTATTTTCATTAATGCAATTTATATGTAGGTTATAATTACCTGAAAAACACCAAAAGCCACTCACTTTTTATAAAGAATTATGACGTATTATTTTACTCAACAGGAACCAGGTTTTGAAGACATTCTACTGTGTTATCTTGTATGAGCCAGTACATAGACAGGCAAACACAAAATCCATGCAACCAATCAAATATACGAATCCAAAAATCCCAACAAAACTTTGGAGACACATACTTACATTAAGACTAAAGTATGAAAGTTAGTTATACTCGCTACATATTTTTTCTCATCATACATACATTTTCACAAAACAAATTCAGATTCTAACAGAGACTATCATAAAGGAGACAATAATGTTACTCACCTCTTTCCCACCCCCGCAAAATTTTATAATAAGGTTTCATAATAAGGATACCACCAAATTCCTCTTGTAACATAAGCTGGAATAATTCTAAGTTCGATAACTGATATCGGATGACTGCTCAAGAATTAGAAATGTTTGATAAAAATATGAAAATATTTTAAAAGACATACTAGACATCATGCAAATAATCCTTTCGATGTTTCTATACAGGAAGGAAAATTTTAATTTTAATGCACCTTTTTAAGCTATTTGATTTCTCAAAGTAAATTACTATAAGCTATTTACTTTGATTTATGTTTAACAAATTTAAACGTAAATTTATTTGTTACTAACTACAAACGATTCCTGATTTGCTTTTGGTCACGACTGCTGGACTTCTAAGTTAAATGTGTCGATTGCTTAATGTAACTGATATTTGGCCAAAGCTTTTCTTGTCCTTAACTTGATGTGATACTCATAAGTGTGCACAACTGCTTTGCTGTCTGTAGGCAGAGAAGCCCTTTTAGCTGATAAATATCACCAAAAGCAAAGTCTTTGATCACAACAATAATTAAATAGCAGGAGCCGGTTAGAGACCAGCATTTATTTTTCTCAAATTAAATGTAAAAGCCTTCTCCGGTTAAGAGATTGGCAAGTTTTTACAAATAACATCAGTCAGCCTTTTCTAAAGGAACACAACCACATTGGAATGGAGTCATTAGGCAATGCATTTATTTTGAAGCCAATTAACCTTTTGTCAGAAAAATGTCTATGCTGTAATGGCTTCAGCGGTGGAGGTCACCCTCTAACAGGGCACGTGTGACAGCCATGGCGCGGGCTGACACAGGCTGGGACGGAGAGGAGAGCCAGGATTGGGATCGGCCTGCTTTTGTATTCTACTCTGCATTTCCAGAGAGCAGACAATCTTGACCTATCCATTTAGGTAATTAAAGCTTCCATTTGGAAGTGTCCTGCAGGAAGGTGAAATTTGGGGTAGATAAATGGCTGTTGCTCTCCGTATCCAGCTGCCAGTTCCATCATTTGATGGACTGCCTGATCAGGCCGGGCTGCCAGGTTCTCATAAAAATAGAGATGAATTGGGCAGCAGACAATTCTCTAAGGCAAAGCAACTCTGTCATTTGCTTCTTTGCAGGCTGTAATTTAATTGTTAGTCAAGGTGGATGGCTGACACAGGGGGGCTTTCTCTAAGAGCTTTCCCACCATCTTCCATGTGCTGAGAAATGACTCCAGTTTATTTACTTAGCAGTCAAGTGTGTTTGGTATTGGGGGATGTCACTCCAGGAAGTGCAGCTGGCCGGCACAGCTGTGTCCTGACTTACCTTCCAGGCGATTTTGTTTCCTTTCGAATCATGCTCAAGGGCAATTGGGAAGTCACCTCGCTCATAGAATTTTCGAAATGCTGTGGGCTTGGTTGGTCTTTCTTTAAATGCCCCTGCCGTTGGAGGGCCTCTCACCTTAATTGGAAAAAAAAAAAAATAGGGATCAGGTTTTAAGACATACTAAAAACATTCACAATAAAAGGGCTTTCTGTTTTAAAAGACTTCAGTTTGTATAAATATGTTGGAAGATAAAACCACATTATCTAATAAGGGACAACAGAAATCTGCTAATACAAACACCTGGGGAAGAAAATTATTTTATAATCACTATTAAAAGTCTACTTCATTTCAAGCTACTTTAGAAAGCATTCCTAGAAAATGTCACTTAAAATATCACTTTATAGGGAAGACTGATACTATGTTTACAAAAAACATTTTAATAGAAGTGTCTTAAGCTTAGAATGTTAAAACTTTAACAATTTCAAATACTTATAAATTCTAATCTTGGGTTTGATATACTTTATGGAATACTGAAGTAATTTAAAACATTTCAATCTTTCTATATATATGTAAAATAGTGGAATATGTTCTCATATTATGAATATTAACAATAAAACTACTAAAACGATATAAAAGTAATAATAAATGAGTGTAGAAAGAAAAAAAAGGTGGCCTATTATATGTGTGTATTTGGTAACATGAATTCACATTTGGTAACATGAATTCACAAGAAAGTAACATTAGAACAGATGAGAAATTAGAACCGATGAGAAACTTCCATCTCCAAAACTGAAATTTTCATTAAAGAATAAATATTTCCTATAGAGTTATTTACATTGAATACATCTTTTGAATCTGCATTATTTACATGGGACCTAATTCATTAGATTGCAAAATTGAAAGTAATAAGTAAACTACTTAGAAAATGAGTGTACTGCTCTGTTCTTTACATATAGTCTAACCATGATTATTTTTCCCTGCTTATTATAAAAAGGTAAATACTAGTCATTTTATATATTAGCTTAATAAATTCATGATTACTTTGTTAATACTATGGACAGAATAATATAACTTAATCTTTTTAGTTATTTTATATGTTAATTTGTAATATTTTGTTAAAAACTCCAATTTTGATAAATATATTAACATATCTAAATAACATACAATAAATATATAATACACACTAGATATGAAAAATACATTGTATCTAATACATATATAAAAGGATTATATTTGAAATTAAGTGTGGTATTAAGAAATACCTTATTACAATGAGGAAATGCTGACGTGGAGTTGAAGAGTGAGGTAACACACGTTTATTAGAGTTTAGAATTTACTCCACTACATAGCACATTACTCCCAGTATATGATTATATGAGTAATTGAGGCAGCATTGGGCATTACCAGTAGGAAGGAAGATTTCCTTTCACTTTTTGAAGATTAGGAATTTGTTCTGGAATTAGAATTAATAGCCACCATTTTCAGTCAAATTCATTCAATTGTTAAATAACCACATGTATTTAACAACAATTTTATTCAGCTCTTTGAGCTGGAGGCTATATAAAAAGAACAGTTTTAACTATATTACTGTCATGGAAACTGTAGAGCTGTGATTCCTGGACTTTTGAAACTCCTGGAGGAGTAAATCTTGAATCACATTTTTGGGAATTGATAAATGATTGACAAATTTTTATGTTGCCAAAAAGTTATATTTTTTAGTTATTTTAGTTATTTTTTCAATTTTTTTCTGCATCAATCAGTAGGTTTCTGTGATTCTTATTCTGTCACCTTTTGATATGGAGTTTTCTATTACAAATTGTAATATAATAGCCTTTAAAGTTACAGAGCTACTCAAATAATCTGCTTCCTATTGCATGACTTGCAGTAACATGTATTTTCTGAGGAATTGGTCCGTTTTATTTAAGTTGTCAAACTTACAAGTGTAGAATTGCTTGTGGTTTTTCTGTATTATCCTTCTGATGTCTGGAGGGTCTCTCATGATATCCATTATTCATTTCTGATATTTGGTAATTTGTGTCTTCACTTTTTCCTTTGTCTGTATTACTAGAAGTTGGCCAATTTTATTGATTCTTCTGCATTTCCAAAACCACATTTTAACTGGATGTAGGATTTAAAGTTCATGGTTCTTTCTTTTAGCACTTGAAAAATAGTGTGCCACTTCCCTCTAGGCTTCAAAGCTTTGGATGATAAATCCACTCTCATTCACATTGCTTTCCCTTATTGATAAGGTGCCACTTTTTTTTATTTATGTGAAGATTTTTCTCATCTTTAATCTTCAGAAGTTTAATTATGATGTGCCTTTGCATGCATTTCTTTGCTTTTTATCGTGTTTGAAATTTGCTCAACTTTGTGAATCTGTAGGTTCATGTCTCTTGCCAAATTTAGAAAGTTTTCTGTCATTATTTCTTTGAGTACTTCTTTGGCCTGCCTTCTTTCTACTCTCTTTGTAGACTCCAATGACATTAATGTTAGATCTTCTGTTATGGTACCAGAGATCCCTGAAACTTCTTTTTTTCAGCCTATTTTCTCTGTCGTTCAGATTGGGTAACTTCTACTGCTCCGTCTTCAAGTTTGTGGGTTATTCCTTCTGCCTCCTGCATTCGGCTGTTGAGCCCAAATGTGCTTTTATTTAATTTGAGTTCTATTTTAAGTTCTACAATTTCTATTTGGTTCATCTTTATATTGTCTAGTTCATTTCTGAGACTTTCCACTCTTTCATTGTCTCAAGTGTGTCATAATATTCGTAAAAGCATTTTTGAAAGTAATTTAAAATTCTTCCCTAGACGTTTCTAACATTTCTGTTACCTTGTTGTTGGCACCTGTTGATTATATTTTTACATTCACTCTGAGATCTTCCTGATTCTTGGTGTCATCACTGATTTTCTTGTGAAACCTGGATGTTTGATACATTATATTATGAGATCTTAAAGCTTCTGCTTTAGCTTGCTTATTCTGACATTTCTCTGGTAAAGGTTGGGGGAAGGGTGCTACCTTATTACTGCCAAGTTGGGGTAGAAGTCTCATTACTCTACTTGGCGTCTACTGCCCTCAGAGGAGGGAATGCTTCATTAATACTGGGTGACCCCAGAGGAGAGAATGCCTCATTAATACTAGCTGGGGATGGAGATTCCAGAACCCACTAGGCCTCCACTGATAACCTCCTGGCTGGAAGAGGCAGGAGTGATTCATTACTGCTCCCCCATTGTCCACACTGACATCATAAATGGTGTGGCCTCATTCCCCTGAACAGTAGTGAAATTCCTGACTCTCTAGGCAGTCCTCTGACTTAACTCCAATGGGAAGGAGGCAACTCTTTTGTCACTAAGTGGGGAACAAGCCCAAGCTCCTGGTGAGGTCTCCACTGGCACTGCAGATGTTGGGGCCTCTTTACAATTCTAGTGAAGAAGAAAGTCCCAATGCCCCATTTTAAAAACTCAACTACAACCATTATTTAGATATTCTTCTTGCTAATCATCCACTAACCATCCTTTTTGAGTTTTTCTAGACGTCACATAGTTATTTTTACTGCTGATAGTAAGCCTCGAACTTACTGAGTTGGTCTAAAATTTGTTGAGATCATCCATCTTTCCCCCTTTTGTCTTTGCATTTCTTTAAAAATCAAGTTCTCTTTTCTTTTTGTCTCTTATACTGAATATACTCCAATCTTTCTGATTCTCAGCTCAAAATTCTTAATGTTCAAACTTTTGAAGGAATGGACACATTTCTAACAAAGCTTAGAAGGCTTTTTATAAATTGATATAGATAACTTATACTTCTTCCTTTCAATAAATTTTCATGCACCCTATAGAAATGATTCCATGCCTGCACTTCCAGGGAAAGCCTTTATTTAGAAGAGAACTTTACAACATAATCCATGGTGATATGTAATCACTTGACAGTGAGAAATTCTCTTCTTGAGTCTCTGGTATCCTCTGTCTTTATATTTCTGCTATTTACTTATTTTTAAACACTTTATACTTTTTGGGATCTGCTATAGACCCATTCTAAATTAACTCTTGGCATCTCAAAAGCCAGAACTTGTAACAGAAGCTAGAATGTTCTCAATTAGCTCTCTCGGTGCATCAGTGGCACTGAGTGGCACCGAATTTTATGCAGATGCTTTGTCACTACAGCCAAAATAATACTTTTTCTGTTCCAGATACTTATGACATGTGTATCCACCTAAGCTTTATAGAAAGACATACCATTTTGATATTCTATACATAATTTATTCCATATAATCCTAAAAATCTGTACATAAAAAAATCAAGTGAAATATAATTAATTCTGGGATGGTAATAAAGATCTTATTATTGGAAACCACACAGATGGATGTAGCTTGTCTAAACAACTTTTAAAACAAGCAAAATGACCTGAAACTCCTTAGGTAAGTTCCATACTTGTAGAAGAGAAAATATTATAAATTTTATTTCATGTTTTAAGAATTTTGCCTCAATTTATTATAAATAATAGAAAGCAAACAAGAGACCATAAATCAAACGAGATTTGTGGGAAAATGCAATTAAGGTTTGCCTGAATGGTAGGGGCAATCTGTAAACCAATTAGGAAGAATGGATGTTACAGCAGAATGCTTTTAATAAAATCTGATGCGCTTGGGAACCAAGATACTGAATGCAGTTTGAAATGAATACAGATGACAGAATACTTTATATGCCTACATTTACGGAATGTGGTATAATGGATTTCGGACTTAGATCACAGTGTCTGTCATATGGTCACAAAACTAATAATAAGAAGGAAGGAATGTAAGGCTCTTCAAAAGTCTTCATTATATAGTTTGAAAATTTTCTTTTCACTATTTTTATTCTTTAGCATAAACTGAAGCTGTTTAAAAAAGACTTTTATATCAACAGGAAATTTGCATTGTGTTATTCTAATTGGCCAATTTAGCCAACCCAGAACGCTGAAACAATAGGATGCAAAGGTATTGATTTCTTGTTTTCATCAGCTTCAATCTGAAATTCTGATTCGTGAAAATGCCATTGTTATAAACGGGTGGGCAAGACCTGTTGACTTGAGTTCTGTCAGGACTGAACTGTTAGTCTCAGGAACGGTAAATCGGTTACCATCAGCGTAGGCTCCTGAGTGAGAAG